CTGTTGGGATCTGTATTGGCCGAGTTCGTGGCCAATGAAGATGAGCTTGAAGCTGTGGTGTTGACGGTAGTAGCTGATGAAGTAGACAGGCGGTCCCGGCGAGGGAGGGCCGACGAGGACGAAGGCGATGTCGAGGGGTTAGAGACAAAGTCGACAATCTCGGCCGACTTGGCGTGCCAGTCGCTGATGGTGCGCAGGTAGGCCCGTGAAGTGGTTGGTGTTGACATTGGCGGCCGGAGCGGCGAATGGTTTGTGTGGCCCAGTACCAGACTTCACTTCATCACCACTTCATTCTCCCTCGCCACCACCAACTGACCCCCCGCTGCTGCTGCTGCCGCGACGAAACCGCCGCGCCGGTCTGAGCATCCCCACCCCCAACACTTCACCTCCCACCCCGCACGCCCACCTTCCGCAGTCGCCGCCGCCCTCAACGCACGCTCCACAACCACCGCCACAGCCCTCACCAACCTCGCATCCGGCCCCTCCACTGCAATCACGGGGCCCCTCTTGGCATTAACACCACCACCGCCACCACCATACATCCCCTCAGGAAGAGAAACAGGCCCCAACGGCGGACTAATCCGCTCCAACACGCGCAGCTTATTCACAAACGGGATGCTCATGACCATCGCCTCAATGCTGCGCGCGTGCGCCCGCTGCTCGGCCGCGTCCCGCTCGCGCTTAGCGGCGGCGGCGGTGGCGGCGGCGGGGCCGTGGTAGTATGATGATGGCATGGTTGCTGGTGTGGGGTGTAGCACGGCAGCGGCGGCGGTTAGTGTGCCGGCATTGGTGCCGGTGCCGGTATTGGGGTGAGGGTTCGTTGTTGTCGGGGGAATTGGTGGTGGTGGTGAGGTGGGTTTGGAGGGGGGGAAGGCGGAGGGATTCGTCAAAGTCGGCGTGGCGGGTGTGCAACTGAGGCGGGTATTGTTGTTGTTGGTGTTGGTGGTGTTGTTGGTGTTGGGGGGCAGACGGTGTCGAGCCACTGGGAGCGATGGGCATTGAGTGTGTGGGCCGCGGCGGGGGCGGCATCATCGGGCCGGGGCTGGTGCGTTGGGGCACGGCTGGCTGTGTCGAGAGCGGCGCCGAGGGGTAGTTGGAGGGTGTGGTTGCGTTGTTGTTGAGGAAGGGGGATTGTCGAGAATGGGAATGGGAAGACGCGGGGTGGTGTTGTTGATGGGCGGGCTGCGCGAATGGGGTCGGGGGAGACGGCAGGGCGTGGAAGTTGTGGTAGCTCCCGTGGGGATTGTGCCGGCGACGCTTGCTTTCGTTGGGGGAGATGGCTCTCCTCGTACTCTTGGTGAAGGTCGTACGAGCTGGGAGCGCTCTGGAAGCCAGTCCAATGAGGGTACGGTTGGGGGCGGCTGTGTCGACTCATGTCGCTTCTCGAGGAAGTGAGGGTGTGGTGTCCCGATGGAGGACCGTACAGACTGAGGCCCGGCTTGGAACCGGTGGGCGTCACAAAAGGCGTTGATGGGGTTCTCGGCGTGGCAATGTACCGTCCGCCGCACTTGGAACAACGGGTCGGGTCTTCGCCCGGGGCTAAGGGAGGCCGGGGCGGCTGCGAGCTTCCGGATTTGTTCCCGCGTCGCGGTTGGTATCGGTAGTCTGGATACTGGCGCTGATGGCGCTGCTTCTCTTCTTCGGCGAGCAGCTTCCACTGATTCTTGCGATCTTCGGGCTCGTCGCGCCACTGTTCGCCGATAATCTTGGAGATATCAGGGTTGGCGAGGCCCGGATTCTGCTGCACCACTTGAGCTTGGTGATGCTGGCGGTAAAGAATGAAGGCTAGGCGAGCGTTTGTGTCAGTAGCTGTCTGGTGGCAGGGTATTTCTCCTTTGCGCTTCCTCTCTTGACCTCCCCTCCCCCTGCAACAGACGACAAAGGAAGGGGCGGGTCTCGGAAATGACAAAACAGAGTGGGAAGAGACAAGTGAGTATCATCGTAGTGGCGTTTCTGTAACTGGACGATCCCAGTAAAATCGAAAAAGAAGACATACCGTTTCGAGGCCGTGGTACTTTCGGGGCTGGGGTACAGAGACAGATGGTGCCGCCGCTGGCTTCAAGAGGCCGCGGGCTCACAGTGTTGGGCGTGGTAAGGCTCAGATTGGCGATCTTGGACCAGTTGGCCTCCTCGGTGTTGATGGAGGCGGCACGCTTTCTAGTTACAGGCCGCCGAGGTGGTTCCTTAGCCAGCTCCGGAGGTGAAGATGAGCCAGCAGATGATAAAGAGACATCCAGGGTGGTGGTTTCGGATCTGTGTTGTCTCGCTGCTGCTGCCGGCGCTGATACGCTCGGTTTTGCAGCCATGGCTAAGCGAGTAATAGGGCCGGCCGATGCCAGGAGGTGCGGCTGTTGCGACGAGACGGTCACTACGTCCGTCATTTTCTTTGGGCTTTTGAGCCTTGGGAGGTCGGAAAGGGCAGTGGGCGTCTTGGGCAAACGGAGGGATGAGGAGAGAGGAGCCAGAATAACCGAGGGGACTTGTTTCCCAGTGAATGATAAGAAACCCAAGCTATCTGTATTCTCTCTGCCGATACGGACAGTGAAGAGAATGGAAGGGGCGGACTTGGAAGAAGGAAGGGGGCGAAAAGTGGTCTGTTTCGACTGTCCCCCCCAATGAATAATAATAAATCAGAGGGTGGCTGCCGGGGCGGATTGTCTCCTTTGTGAGCTATCTCCTCATCACACTTCAGCGAGCGGCCGCACAATGACCCCGGCCAACAACAACCTGAATGACCTTATCCCATTGGCAACCACACTGCCCACCATCACTATCTATTATGACAGGTACGCGGCAGACGGGACCCAGCTTCTGATGGAAGCAACGAAGTGGATGGCCCTTCAGATGTCTCGGGAATGCGCCGCTGGGCAGTGGAGTGCCCGGCCCATGGTTCTTTGTCCCCAGCGTTTGCAGAATTTCCGTTCGCAGTTTTTCCGCACCTTGGGCGTAAAGGCACTCGCTCCTCACTCAATCGCCAGACCAGGCCCCCTCCCCTGGTTCATTCGGCCAACGGGACAATGCCAAAGGAATTCCCCCCCAAAGAATGCCGCCCTCCTGCTGTCTGGAATGCGTCTGGAATGCGCAGCACTGAACAAAGACCATGTCTGCCGAATTGGGCCAAGCCACCGCCTATTTGCTTGCTTCCACTTGTTCATTTTCCATTCAGGTGCCCTGCATCGGCCGTCCGAAAGGCGAGGTATGCGGACGAACAAGCCGTTGGGTGTTGTTGGTGTGTGTGTGTGGTTATGGGTGGGAAATATCAACGGGTTTTTCTCAAAAGGGCAACAACCTCACGCAAGCAACCGTCGGCCAGCCAGATCCCGCGGGGAAGAAAAATAACAGGGTTGCCAACATGAAACAAAAAAACCAGCATACCGCGCCAACTCCGATCTGCAACGCAGTTTTTCCCAAACCTGCCTGCCTGCCCGTGTCCTCATTCTATCATACATAGCGAAAATCAGATATGTGACTAGTTGCGCCCTTGACCCCTGCCAACCCCCCCATGTCTAAGCGACCACCAATGCAATTATGAGATGAAGCCGGCGCCAGATTCGCTAGCCAGCACGTTGGCGCTGCGTCGGGCGTCCAGGAAGAGGTCCTCACACTCCGCGACATCCGGCACGTCGATCTGGGCGCGGCCATTGACGCGGGCGAGGATGCTGCCGACTGGTTAGCGCACCTATTCCCCCTCTCATCACTCTCCACACACACACGGCGGGCACCCAAGACAAACGTACCTCGCAGGGGTCAACAACTGGAGGCAGTAGCGAAGGCTGATGCGCACTCCGTGCTCAGCAATCTTATCGATGGCGGCATCCGTGATCTGGACCCCCTCGGTGGTCGCCCGGATGCGCACGATTCGCTTAATCTCCTCGGGCTCGTACGGGTGGGTGGGGATGATCAGGAGACGGGTCAGAAAATCGGGGGGGCACGCCGTGCGCCGCTACGAGGTCGTCAGCGCCGCGGATGGCGCACATGCCCCGGTTGGAGGCGAGGACGACGATAGGCGAGATGGGGGACTCTAGGGCCTTATTCAGGTAGGTGAAGCACTCGACATCCAGCATGTGTGCCTAACGAGGCGGAGGGGTTCGTCGGGTCAGCTCCACAGTTCCCCCGCCACAATCACATTTCCTGAGTGACACGTACCTCGTCAATAAAGAGCACGCCGGGCACGAGCTCGGCCACACCCTGGTTGATGTATTTGCTGACCACCTTGTTGATCTCGCCCCGCAGCTTATCGGTGATCTCGGTCATCTTGGGCTTCATCAGCTGGCCCATCATGGACATGATGTCCTGGCCACCCTGCGGACGGGCGTTGGCCACGTCGAGATCGTGCAACGACACATCCTGGACAATTTCTTTCTTCTTATGAACCTCGCCCTTAGGAATTGGCACGTACTCTTCGGCCTCGAGATCAAACTCGGTAGCGTAGGCATCCGACCTGCCGACGCGTTTGCAGGCGCCCGTGTTTGTCTCAATGTAAATGACATCGCCGACCTGGACGCGCTCCTTCTGAATAGCCTCGTATATGCTGGGGTCGAGGCGCAGCTTCTTCTGGCCGCGTGCGCTCTTGAGCCCAACGAGCAACGTGCTAATCGTCTTGCCGTAGCCGCCGAGCGGGTTCTCGGCCTCCTCCGGGGTCAGCTCGGTGACCTCGCCCTCGTAGACATCCTTGGTCTCGCGGACCTTGAGCCCGATGGCGCGGCGGAAGTTCTCCATGAGCATCTCGGTCTTCTTGACTTCGGTCGAGTAGACTTCGCTGCCGGTGATGGGGCAGAACGGGATCTTGGTGCCCAGCTCCTGGCTGATGGCGAGCGCCAATGCCGTCTTGCCTGTGCCGGGGCCGCCCGCTAGCAGCACGCCGCGACCGGCCATCTTGTGTGCTTTGATGAGATCAACTACGACACCGCAGGCCTACAGTAAACAAAAGGAAACCCAGGTCAGCCATGATTTGCACATTGCATGGTATCATCTACCAGGTAGCAGTGCAGTGCATACCTCACGGGCACTCGACTGGCCGACAAAGCCGGCAGCCTGTTTCTCAGCAATGCCATGGGAATTGAGACCGAGTCCCTTTAATATGTGTGTGTGCCGCAGTGCGGTTGTCGCGAGTGTTGCCGCGCACCTCGCTGATCTGAACCATTGTGGGCTGCGACACTGTATGGTTCCGTTCGATTCGGGTTTGTTTTAGGAGTCGGTTGATGCAAGATGGTGGGATTCGAGTCGGTGTTGGTGTTGCAAAAGAGAACGAACGACAGGGCTGGTAATCAGTACTGTGCTGCGCTGGGCGACAGTGGGACGCGAGCTCTGCCAGAAGCTTGCCTGCCCCAACTAAATTTCCAAGCAGCTTGACGCGAAGCCCATGTGCAGTGGTCTGTGCGTTCGCTGGGCACCGCTCACCTTGGATATCTCGATGTTCACCGAGGTGTGGGACACAGCCAGGTGTAACTGAATAAGGGGAAACATTGTTTCTGGGTAAGTACCTATTAGGCTCCCCCCCAAGGACCTGGGGGGTGTCTCTCGATAGGAGAGCGTATTCACGTCCAGGTTTCCCTGTGGTATTTCGCTAGTTACCTTGCCCACCCGTTTTCAGCTGTACACATATGTATATGCCAGTGTTTTTTATCTTGCGTGTATGTACATCAGCGTTCTAGCTGCTCTAACTGCTCTGCAACGTATACCAAGATAAGAAATATGGAAAATGCCCAGAAAATGTACACTCCCATCACCTCCCAGCCACAGCCGCCCTCTCTTCCAACTCGTCCCCTTCCTCATCCCCCCCACTCCTCTCCAACATCGGTACCCCTTCCACATCCCCCTCCTTCCTCGCCTCCCCCTCTCCCTTCTTCTTCCCCAGCGCCGCCCACAACGCGCTCCCCACAATCAACCCACACCCCAACAAGCTCACCACCCCCATCTCATGCCCAAAAACCCACTTATCAAACCCCGCCGCGAACAACATATGCGTATACACCATGGCCGTCGCGCGGTTCGACTTCTCCCCGCCAATCCCCGCCGTCATCATGAACTGCATCACAAACCCGCACACGCCCAGCGACAGCAGCAGGAACCACTCGTACGCCGTCGGGGGCAGCAGGCCGCGGAAGCTGATGACGGGCGGCGCGGCCTGTCCGATGCCCAGCAGGGGGCAGAGCGCGAGGGCGGCCGTGCTCACCAGCGTGCTCCACACGGAAAAGTAGGTCACGGTGATGAGGGCGTGCGCGCGCGTGCCGATGTACCGGATCGTCGTGTAGGCGCCGGCCGCGCCCAGGACGCCGAGGAGGGCGACTAGGATGGCGATGAGGCGTTGTGCTGGGGTGGCATCTTCGCCCGCGGTGGGGGGCGAGGCTGTTGTGGTGGTGTTGGTTGGGGCGGTGGGATGGGTCTCAGGGTCGGTGGGGTCGGCGGTGGCGTTGAAGAGGGAGGTTGGCCTCGCAATGAGGACTACGCCGGCTAGGGCGATGAGAGAAGCGAGTTGCTCTTTGCGAGTGAAGGGGTCTTTCATGAGGATGTGGCATATGTATCCAGCAAGCATCGGCGCGAGAAAGGTGATGACCGTGGCTTCGGCTAGCGGGAGGTACATCATGGAGAACCACATTCCGTATATACCAAACTACATAAGTTAGCAAGTCGTTAGTCTCTTTCGGGATATAGCGTAGCCGCTTCTACAAAGGGCGGATCCCGGTGTGTTCAGGTGCCGGCATGAAGGATGATCATGGTACTTACGAATCCAGAGACGCCTCGGATAACCAATACCGTTCTAATCCCCTTCGCGCCGAGGGGGAAATCAGGCACCTGCATCCACCACATGTACAAACAAGACAGGACCGTCGTTATGCTCATACGAGCAAAAAGAATTTGAAACGGGTGCATTTCCGATTCTAGCTCCAGAAGCCTCGCTGATAGATTCATCAAAGCTCCAAAGAGCTGCGCAACAGCTACCAGAACCACACCTCGGTTTCTGCCCCAGAAGCGGCTCAGCGTCTCCGATATTGTTGCCCTCCGCTGCGGGTGATGAGTATAAGGGGTTGGTGAGAACCCTCTCGAATGGCTTGGCGAGCGTCGGCCATACTCGGAAACGGGGCTGGCGGAGAGTGACCGAAAGGCACTCGGGCTGAGGAACGGTGATGGTGGTTTATTGTTCCATTCCTCCGCAGAAGGATGGTCAATAACGTCCGCACCATGGCCATCTCCATGTCTCGTCTTCCCTTGTGAAGCCTGCCGTGGGTCCAAGAAACCGGCCATGGTTTTCGATGACCTCAACGGATGGAGGTTTTGTAAAAGGGAGGAGAGCTTGTCCTGTAAGATAAGAAGTAAACAGTTCTCAACACGGATGTTCGATGGTTCAGTTAGTTAGGTAGTTATGCATATTTCCAAGATGAAAAAGTATGATGTGATGACAACTACAGAACGCCCCAAAAGTGGAGAGAAGGGTATTCTAGGGAAAGCAAGGCGTGCGTGTTATTCCCGAGCGTGCTTCGAGCATGCTGCATTAAGACCAACAGCGAGGACGAAAGGGCAGTTTTGGGGCCAGTAGGAGGCCTTCTTGATGCATCCTTTTCCGTCACCGGTCCTTGGCCCCGGACATCGGGGCTAGAACGTCGGATACAGCCCTCGTGGGAGGGCAGACACCCGGTCTCGCTGCAACCTCACGCACACCTTCCACATTTGCCCCTCACAACCCGGTCCCAGTCATCGCGAACCTGTGGGTAACAGTTGGAGACGGGTGAATAGCGGGCGAGATGGTGAAGCGATATCTTCTCCACGTATTAGTAACAATGCCGATGAACCGAGATGGTGGGGTAAGGCTGTGTGCGATCTGGAGGGGTGGTGTAAACGCATGTAGTGACTATCGGGTGTTCCATGTAATCCCCTACTACTCCGAGAAAGCTGCAAATGGGTCGTCTCTACGAATATTAATTTGTCTTTGCTCAAGCATGGCTGGGGGTGGTAAGGCGGGGAGGAAAGGCCGCTGCACGCTGACGGGTAAAAGGGTAAGACAAACTGGGAATGAATGCAGTAGCTAGGACTTGCACAAGGAACTGAACTTGAACTTGACGGGTGCGATAACATTTATTGTGTAAGGTATCAAAACCTGATGATGGATTGAAAATAAGTTGTTGAAGTTGGAGACTGAAGGCATATCTGAGACCTTGTGAGATCCCTCCTACGGCTGAAGGCTTGGCAACGGCCTTCTCTTTCGTTTGTCTCACGCGCAGTAGTTGGTAGTTTCACAACTTGAACCTGCCTCGCTCTCTCGACGTCAACTCCTGCCTAAAGGTTAAAAATAAGACAAAAAGTGCCCTGGATTGGGAGGTACATTGCAAGCACTAAACACAGCGTTGCGCCTACTTACAACGCCATGTCCGGCAAACGTCCTGCATCCACCAGTGATGCGACAGACGGGCCACGCCAGTTTAAGCAGACCAAATTGAACTTCTTTACTTCTGCTCCCAAAAAGCAACCACAAGAACCAAAAGTCACATTACGGGAGGAGGATACAGAACTACCAACAGACCGAGTCGGACCATCCAAGACCACAGCTCAAACCCCCAACACCACCACCACACCGGACTCACCCCTGGAATCCGATCCAGAATCATCACCAGCATCACCAGCCCCCACCCCAACGATCACACGCCCCACCAACCCAACAACAACAACAACAACGACCACAACAACCCCAACAATGTCCCCCGCCCGCCTCCGCATCACTGACCGCACCGGCGACCTCTTCGCCGCCCCCGCCAACACCCTGCTCATCCACGCCTGCAACACAGTCGGCTCCTGGGGCGGCGGCATCGCCCTGGCCTTCCGCAACCTTTACCCGGCCGAGTTCCGCGTGTACCGGGCGCACTGCGCGCGCTCGACGCCCAACCAGCTCGTGGGCACGGCGCTGCTGATTGCGCCGCAGCGGGCGTCGTTGAATGGTAGTGGGGGTGGGGGGCATTATATTGGGTGTTTGTTTACGAGTCGGCGGTTTGGCGCGGCGAGAGATCCGCCGGATAGGATTCTGCGGGCGACGGGGCCCGCGATGCGCCATCTGATGAGGTTGGTGGCGGAGGAAGAGGAGAGGACGGGGGTGAGGATTGGGGAGGTCAGGATGTGTAGGATTAATGCGGGGTTGTTTGCTGTTCCGTGGGAGAGCAGTAAACGGGCGCTGGAGGCGATGGAGTTGGGGGATGGGGAGGTGCCGGGGTGTGCTCAGGGCGGTGTTGTGGAGGTGGTTGCGTGGGAGAGGGCGTGAAGTGTGAGATGGTGGCATGATTGATACCCGGATAGGTCTGGGGGGTTCACGGATGGCAAGGTGTTATACGACGTGGACGGCAGAGGAATAATGCAGAAGAGCCATGCGCTGGCTGCTGTGAGCAGTAATATTGCGTCTGCTGATGCGAAGCAGGGCCACCTTAAACGCCGTTCGTGTGTTCACCTGTGAATTACCCAGCCCAGTAACCCCAACCCAACGCCGTTGCTATGCATCCCAGAGTGTTCCTAAATCCCAAAAGAAAGAACGGAAGAAATCCCCAAAACTAAAACCGCTCCACGAAGCCGCGTCAGAGGACGGGGCGCCATTGTGTGCCATGATCCCAGGCCGTCATAAAGGACGGGTCTGGCGTTCACTTAGCTCCCACGCACTTCACCGCGCTCCACCCCCCAGCTCTAACTCCAATTCATCGTCCCCCTCCTCCAAGTCTTCCTCCCCAATTTGCATCTGCGACATAGCCTTGCGCACCCTCTTCGACGGCCCAGCCCTGTCGCGGTCCTTCTCGGCAGCCTTCTCCTCCTTGTCGGCATCCTTCATCAGTTGGTCCTCGATGTTGAACCCCTTGCGCGCGGCCTCAATCTCCTTCTTTTTCTCAAACATCTCCTGGATTTTGCCCATGTAATCCGGGTTGCGCCGCATGGCAAACTCGAAGTCCTCGAACTTGACCTTCTGCCGCCCCGCGTGCTGAGCCGCCCGTGTCGCCTCGAAACTCACTCCCTGAATAAATTCGGTCAGGATCTCGTCTAGCACTCGCACCGTCTCATTGAGCGGCGCCCGCACGTCGCCGTGGCCGTAGAGCAGCTGCGCTACTGTGGGGGTGTTAGATTACACAAACACACGAAAACGAGGGAAGAAGGGGGAGGAGGCGTACGCTCGTTGTGGCCAAAGTTCATCTTGCCGACATTTTTGCCGGCGCGTGCACGAGGCTCCATATTGGCAAAGGTAACGGTCGGGTTTAGTTCGTACTGTATGATTGATGATGAAGATGGGTCGGGTTGAGTTGGAGTTGGAGAACCGGTGGTGGTGGTGGTGCTGTGTAAACTGCCGAGAACGCTGAAAGGTGAGGCTGTACGGAGGTTACAGGCAAAGGTTTCACAGTGGGGCGGGTACTGGCAAGGGTCACGGCCAGGGGCCCACATCCCCCCCTCAAGGTACCGACGCGTCGCTCGCAGCCGTCAAAAAACATCACCAATATCACCACATTTACAATGGCTTCAGAGCACCCTTTTACGCCGACTAGTATACGTTTCAAGAACCCTGACCTTACCCGCGATGAGCGGCTTCAAGTTCAAACTCTCCGCAATTGTGGTTTTACGTACGAGCAAATCGTTACGCAATTAGGCCTTACCTACAACCAAGTCAGACACGCTTGTCACGCTCCGAATGCTACACCAAAAAGACGGTCTGGTCGACCTGGCCTTCTTGATCCTGAACAGATTGAAGAGTTGATCGCCTTTATTACCTCTTCGCAAGCTACTCGCCGAATGCCGTACTCGAGGATTCCTCTTGCTCTTGGCTGGGACTGTTCAGAGTACGCCATCCGTTACGCTCTTCGCAATGCTGGCTTTAAGCGCTATATTGCATACCGAAAGCCCCCGATCATCGAGACGAACCGACAACTCCGCCTCGACAATGCTCTCGAGCGTGTACACTGGCCTCTCGAACGATATCACGAGATCCTCTGGACCGACGAGACCTGGGTGACTGCTGGCACTCATCGGAAGGTCTGGGTTACTCGCCGCCAAGATGAGGCATACGATCCGACGTGCATCGTCGAGCGTGAACAACGGCCAAAGGGATGGATGTTCTGGGGTTCATACTCGGTCAAATATGGCAAAGGGCCTGTTCTTTTCTGGGAAAAAGATTGGGGGACGATAACTGGGGAGAAGTACTCGGAGAAGGTTGTCCCTCTTGTTGATGCGTGGTTTCGGCTTCATCCAGGCCAGGTATTCATGCACGATAATGCCTCTCATACTGCCCAGATTACTCGCGATGAGCTTACGGCTCGACGGATCTCTGTTTATACCCATCCTCCATATAGCCCTGATCTGAACCCGATCGAGAACGCGTGGAACTGGATGAAAGATTACATCGCGGCCAACTACCCAGCGAAGATGTCATACGACCGACTACGCGAGGCAGTTTATGCTGCGTGGGAAGCAATCCCGGAGGATTTCCTTCGAGAGCGTGTAGATACAATGCCTATACGGCAACAGGCTGTTATTGATGCGAATGGACTGTATATACCTTTTTGAATAGATGAATGGCTGGTTGCTTTGACGGCTGCGAGCGACGCGTCGGTACCTCGAGTGGGGGATGTGGTCCCCTGGCCGTGACCCTTGCCAGTACCCGCCCCACTGTGAAAACTTTTGCCTGTAACCTCCGCAAGAACAGAGTTCCAGCCAGCTGTGCTTCCTTCTCCACAAAAAAGAGCCGGGCCCACACTAGTAGCTCCACTGGTCATTCTTGGCGGGCCATCGCAAGGAGGAAATGGAATGTGTCAGGAACAACAGCTCTAATTCAAAGCTGCGAATCTAATACCGACGCCGAAAAAGTTCCCGAATCCCAACACCATCGTCAACTCGTGATGACAAACAGCCCACCGACTGAATACACACCATGGTCAGGCCCCTCATGCTCAAAACAAACGCCTCAGCCGCAAAGCGCACCCCAAGCTAACACCGCTTCGCACTCCAGACGGCCCTCTTCAACTTCACGAGCCTCCTGCTCGTCATCCTCCTCCTCGTTTGGTACGATTCCCGACGCAACATTGTCCACTACAACCATACTCCATCCCAAACCCGCCAACACACAACAACAAGTCCCGCTAACCACCCGTCCACAGCACGTGCACCTACCTCCACCAGCTCTTCCCCGCAATCCTCGACCGCAACAAGACGGGGTGAGTTCTCCCTTTCCATCTATCCACCGCCGAGGCGTTATAGGGGGCATACACCATTGTTGCGCTGCGCGGTGCTAACGACCCCGGCAGCATCACAGGCATTTTCTGGAAGTGCGCGCGGATAGGCGAGCGGCTGAGCCCCTACATGAGCTTGTGCTGCGGGGTCATGGCGGTAAGTCACACACAAAAACACCACTCGGTGGACTGTTCCCCGGGCTGAGGGGTGGATATGGGGTTGCTGACGGGGGTGGGCAGATCTCGATGTTCTTGGGCATGTAAGATGGCCCCGGCGAGGCGGGCTTTTGATATCACGGCGCTATAACGATGCGGGGGGTTATTACCGGCGAGTGTTTGGCTGGCGCGGAGTCTGGGAGTCAAATTCATGGGCCTTTTTTTTCTTTTGGGGTGGGGTGGGAGGTCAAGGAGGCGTTGGGACAGTTTGTTGCCCGAGCGCGAGGGTGGCATGCAAGCCATGGGTGCCGAGGGGATGTTTGCTCGGACGGCAACGACGGAAATGGGGCCGGGACCTTTGATTGCGACCTCGGTTTGCTTGCCTGGGCCTTGGTGCTCCGCCCACGACGGATTCGACGGATAAAGACAGCGGCACCGGAACCAGCGCAAACACCGTACCGAACCGCCTCGATCCCGAGTTCGTGGACATCCAAACTGCGTCGCGCCGCCTTTCTCGACCAAGGCTCGGCTTGTTGCTTGCTTATTTGCTTATCAATGTTACACGGCCTCATTCTTTCGCAATTACCAAGCACCCCGCCAGATTAGTGAAATCCCGAGTCGGACTTGGGATACGGCCATTGTGCGTTGCGCCGAGTCTAGATGCCGTCGGCTCAAGATATGGGAAAAGGGTGATGTGGGCGAGGTTCAGCCCATGCACGAGGGTGGCCGGGTAGGACAGGCCAGGCTTGCACACAGGCTGGAGAAGTATGTACATGTATATGCCGCGGGCCGCGGCTGGTGGTACGAGGACTGAGCGCGGGGCATATATATTATGGTCTTGAGCCATTTGTGAAGATGCGCCGGACCGCTGAAGGAGGGGGATGTTGAGGACTTAATATCTCTGCAGCGGGCAGCCTCTTCGGCTTGGTTGCCTTGTCTCTGCTGCTGTGTTTAGATGTGCTTGTATCAAAAAAGAGATGGATGGGGATGCGGTCTATTTAGCAAGGACAGCAGCATGTAATTCTATCACCTCGACTATTTTACCTGTCAAATTCTGATAACATGCTGTTTTTGGAAGTCTAAGTTCCATCGTGAGACGCGGACCATAGCGCCCCCCATAGCTCAGCACTCTTCCCATGCACACCACCAAGGCGCCAGCGCAATGTGCTGATATGCTGCCGCTTCCCGGCCGGCCGGTCAGCCAGCACCATCGGCCGGGACACCGCAGTACAACTTACACCACCTACCTACCTACATAAATACCGTGCATTCTTGCATACCTACCACATGCACGCACATCTCCCCACGGTCCGTTCGAGACCTTCCATCACATAATCATGACAGGGCATATCCTCGTTATACAAAACGGCCCGCCGCAGGGACTGCAGGCGAACCGCCGCCACCACCTAGCAGCAGCGCCGCCGGGCCGAGTAACTACCATTTGTCCGACCGCCGCCACTTCCACTTCCACCGACTGAGACAGAACAGAACGGACCAGAACAGACAGACGGACAGACAGACAGACACACTCTCAGACACAGTCCTTCGAGAAAAGGGCCGGCGGTGCGAAAGTGGCGTACTAGTTCCAAGCTAACTAGACTATCCCGCATCCGCACCCACGTGCATCGGGAGCAGGGCGTGGTGGTCTCGGCGGGGGGGGGGGTTGTTAGTTAGGGAGAAGGGAGGGGAAGAGAGGTGAGGGGAGGGGGGAGGAGAGGAGGGGGGAGGGCAGCAACTCCTCATCTCGCCCACTCAGTAGCTAGTTAGCTAAGTTAGTTATTGAGTCACTAGTTGCCGTGTGCACAGACAGGCAAAAGGGAATGGAAGAGAATGCAACGCTGGCGGTGACAAGGCGAATCTCTCTCTCTCCCTCTCGGGGGCGGCTCTCTCCGAGCAAGTGGACTGCGTCCGGTTGGCCGGCTTGTCGATCCCGAGTCTTGGGGAGATTGGGCATTTGGCGGCGATCGACCGAGCGACTGACCGACTACCCTCCCTCGCATGGGACGTGTGTGCGCAGCCCCGTTTTGTCCCGTTAACTCACTTGGTTAACTTAGGTTATGGGGGTGGATTTTGGGATCTTTCCGTCTCTTGGTTTGGCTTAGGTAGTTAGTCGCTTCTTTGCTGGCACAGGGAGTGAGAGATGTGGTGTTGGCTGTGGGTTTGGGCAGCCAGAAGGGGGTCTTGCTTGAGTCTATTCGGAACCTAATTGGCTGGCAAATAAAGTAAACAAAGTGATGTGTGACTTTGTCCTGGCTTTCTGGCAGAGTTGCATGCTGCATGTAGCAGAGGGGTGGTTGGCGGGGCTCTGGTTGGAAACAGAGCCGCAGCCGCAGTCCACACAGTACCACGATATGAGGAAGAGAGCATTGGGTGCATTTGGTATCTCCCTATTTCGCAAATCGTGACTGGTTGAGATGGAGCCCGCAGGATCGCTGGCTTGCTTCAGCCAGCGAAAAATCATGTGCGTATGCGGCGCTCAGGAGTTACAGCGGCTCGCAAGCTGTCAAAGAGTAAGCGAGAGGTGAGGCAACAGCCAAGCAACGACGTTCGCCTCACCGCTTAGCTGAGTCGTCTGGGCCTGGCTTGCCTGACTCGCCTCGCTCGCCAACGGGCAGCTGATATGACGAATTAATGACAAGCGTTGACGCAACAACTCGGTCCGTGAACTTGTTCGAGAACCTTCCGAGCGCTTTGTCTGGTTGGACACATATTGTTGGGGTTGGGACAACATCTGACAACGCTTGCGGGGATTTACATGAAACAAGCACAGAGCGCGCTGCCTATGCTTGACGCCGAGGAACAACCGCGCGACTGGCGGCGACGGGGTTGGGGCTCTCGGGGACGCCAGCCGCGATGTTACGCTGATACCTGGATTCATGCAGCGAGGATTTTGATCTGGCGAGTTTCACCAAACACTGTGCCTCTGCCAGCCACTGCCGGTTAGACCCCACTGAGAGGCAAAGACGCTGGTGTTTGAAGTCTGGACGAATAACTCATCAACTTGAGGCCAAAACCACATCTGACGTTAAGATCAGCAGTTTGTATTGGCGGGGGTGGCGAGGGGTGATCGGCCTGGGGAGTTCCGGCTCTGTTGGAGCTGGTTGGCGCTGGTTGACCAACGGTGAGGTACGGCTTGACTCAGGGGCAACAACAAAGAATGCGCGATGGAGAAGCGCACCGTACGATGAGGGGACGGCAGACTTGCTTTACCATATGGCGATGCCGCGGTATCCATGGCTCTCACGCCCCGGAGCTCTGTTTCGAACCTCTCCCGGCACGGCTTCCGTAGTGTTGGTAAGTTCGAAGAATGTTCTGGTGGCAAAAAAAAAGCAAGGCGAACGGCGGCGGCATTCTACCTTCGGCAACGATGTCGAGCCTCCATGACGCGGAGCCCGTCGATTGTGTGCTTTGAGCTCTGGCAAGTACCTGTACATCTGCGTATTGCTAGTACAAGCAGGTATGATGCTCCACCGAAGTTTTGGCTGCCGTATGATACGCGCAAGCCCGACCAACGCCGTTAGCTAGTAGAAACGGCCTCGGCCCGACGACTTTATTGTTCTGAGACGGCGCCTCTGGCGTGGTGGCACCAGAGCGTATTAAACACCCACGGCGATATGCCAGTGCTGCCGAACGCGGCGATGGCAACGGCAAGGGCGCTTGTGTCAGCTCCGGGTGGTCGGCAAGGAAGTGGATAAGAGAGTCGAAACCCCCGGTGAGTATGCAATGCACGCCGCGGTGTTGCTAACCGCCACCACCACCGCTCCGCAATGCCCGAGTCCGTTTCCCTTTGGGCGAGCTGTGGCAAGCTGCACCGTGACAGAGCAGCGGCGACGTGGGCGAGTTAGCGATGCCGGGTTTCACCTGATTAATGTCGGAGGGGATTCAGAGGACCTCATGTGCGTCCTGCTGCTGCATGCCCCTTCACCGCCCTGCTAGTGGTCATGCGGTCATCGTCAGTTAACACAGATGGGTTGCGGATGGTAACACAAGAGGAGACATGCTTCCAGTCTGCCTCCATGTTTCTCCATACTTCTGTCCCTCCATGCTTACCTCCCCATTGTGGTGTCAAGAATCCTGTGTGCCAGGTGCGAAGGACATACTTCGTACTCATCACATGAGGATAATCTTAACCTGCAGGTCGACCAACACCCGGGCTAGCCATGTCTGTTTTCCAAGGCATCGCGTGCCCTTTTCTCGGGGAGCGTCCCGAGCCCCTGGCAGGCCCGACGGGCCCCGGCAGGCTCGGGATGGTGAATGGTTGGATGGTGAGATGGTGCAATCGCCAAAATGGCCGCCAATCTCGCCAACCTTGGCGACCCGCGGGCCACATGGCCACGCTGGGATCTGGATCCGCCCGTCTGGAAATCATCCGGGTGTTTGGAGAAATAACGGCTTTTGCTGTTTCTGTTTAGACTGGTGCGTGTCGTGATGGGGTTCGTTTGTTTGAGGTGTTCCTGGTCGTTCTGTCTCGACAGATTGCGATAGGTTTACGAGGTTGCAGAGGTTGTTTGGGGAAATTTAGGGCGGAGGCGGGGCCTGGGAATTGTTCCCCGTTTGGGGCTTCAGGCGTGCGGCTGAGGCACTGGTGAAAAAGGACCTCCGCACCACCTCAGCACCACCCACCTGCAAGCCGACCTCACGAAGTCACCGAGCTCGCCGATAGCAACTTGCCAGCCAAGCTAGAGCTGCACCATATTACCGGGAATCTTGCCGAGTAACGCACGACAACTGGCGACATTGAGACCACTAACTAGCGTCGTGGGACCATCCAACTTCCATTCTCGCGTCGCCCATGCCGTCCCGACGGTCGCGTCAGTGATCTGCAACTAACTCGCCGACAGGAGCAACAAGAAACACACACACCCACGCCCGAACTTGGCGAGCCTGGCTCGAGCCAGAAAGTTGTGCCTGGCGACCGAGACATGGCCTCGGAACACAGGATCGTGGGGCGAGGCTTGCAGTGGCTGGAGTCAGCATGCGGGATGATTCCAGTGGACCGGAACCCCTAAAAAAGGCTGCTTGTAGTTAGCTCGGCAGTGTTGGGTTGAGCATCTGGACTGCTGGGCGGCTGGGCTGCTTGGCTGCTGGGGCTGTCAGCCTTTCTCTCTCGCCTCGACCCGTGTGATCCGTAATGGGAATTCCGCATTAATGAGACCCCCATTCCCCGACGGCCTGGTAATTGCGATGTTGCTTCTCGCTCGAGAAGGCGAGGCTCGAATGGCGCGGGAGAGCACAGAGGTGCATGATTAGCCGCTCGTCCCTCTTGCAGCTCTTCATTCAGCGTGCATTGGATGTGAGCATCCAAGGCATCTTAGCAGGTTCAAGGCGCTGAAAGCAGTCATCCAGAGAGTCCCTTCTCCACCGGGGTCCAGCGACTTGCCTGCAACCCTCGTCATGCTTCTTGCCATCCGCGGCCATCCCGACGACAACGTGGATACGAGCCGCGAGTCCCTCCAACCCCACCGACCGCCAAAATCCGGAGGGCCAAGGGAGAGGAGAGCCAGCCATGCCGAGTTGGGATGCTGGCACGATTTGATGTTCAAGAAATCGTCGATCGCATCCACGAAGATCAGGCGAGCGATTCCACCCCCTTCCTTGGCCAAGGACACCAGCGCGAGACCGGCTCGTGCTTTCGATAGTTAATGGGCGGCGAGACTTTGTAGCCCGCTTTAGTTTTGCTGCTTTGTTAGTTACTTTCTTGCCGCGAACTCGGTCTTCTTCCCTCCCCGTCCACCCCCATCAAGGGAGGAGCAGCCAGCCCGGCGAGGATCGGATCGGCGCCGACTCCAAAGGATGATCCAAAAGCTTTTGCCCGAGCCGCGGCGCTTTGGCGCACACCCCAGGGCCAGCCTTTCTCTTCCGTTCCCATGGCGAGAGAGGATGGATGACATGACATGAGCAGCAGCCCGAGCGTGGCACTCGACTCGCCGTCCAACTACAGCACAGGCTAATCCCGACCATCGCCATTCTCCGCCGAGTACAGAATAGAAACGTTTCAAAACGCTGACCAAAAGCTGCGTGTTGCCGCACCGCAACCTGCCGTATGCAACCCTGCCCATCAAAGCGTTTCCACCCAAAGGGGCGAGGACGAGGGCAGGGCAATGAATCATGCCCCGACAGCGCATAGACAGGAGACCAAAAAGCACGGTCGACTCGACTCGAACGGCTCCAGGTTGCTTCATTCCATGGATGCCCAGCCTGCGGGCCAGCAATTACTGCGTCGCGATGGTGAGGTGTGTTGTGGTGAACAAAGGGTGTGCTGTTTTTTCTTTGGTGTTGCGTGTTTGCTCCCTCCACCTCGCTGACCGCCAGCCGCCTCAGCCAAACCCAAACTTGGCCACGGTGAACGGGTGGGCGAGTCCGCTTCCCGAGTAACCCGATGCTAAGGTGACATGCAACGATGCAGGAGGTACAGATCTGTAATTCCTACACCCCCACGCCTCGCTGCCTGACTGCCAGATGATGACAACCAAGCCCGAGATATGGACTGGATGTAGTGCTAGATGGCTGGTAGCTTTGCTTTCCTTTCCTATGTTTGTTGCTGCACCCGCCCAAATCTCTAGGTACCTTAGGTAGTTACTATTCAGAAACGGCAGCCAAAAAAAAGCGAAGAGCGAAGAAAAGCGGCCGTGCTGCCGGTTGTGGTGGCATTTGAGCGGAGGCATCATAATTTACCACCCAATTCCCGGTACCGGTACAAAGGTAAGGTACCTTTTTACCCTTTTCTTTCGGTGTGCCCAGAACAGATACCTTGCATCTTTGAGGCGAAGGCAGTGCCTGGCGTGAATTCCGTGCAAAAAGGGCTGGGTGGGACCCAGTGACGGTACCACATTTTTTATTTTGTTTTTTCTTTTCAGATGCCCGAGGGTGTGGCCCTATCAATCCCGGCCTTCTCTTGGCTTTTCATGGTGCGCTGGCACAACACTCTTCCTGCCCAAAAAGCAGTGCTGCCGCTTGAAGGGGACGCTGGTGCACACACCCACACCCTGCGCCGGCAACGGCTTGTTGCTCCCAAACAGCGCCCCCTCCCAGCACGACCCAGCGCCCCACAAGCATGTTCCAGAGGGCAGCTGATGGCGGTGGCATGGTGGCACGCCCCTGCTTCCTTTTTTCTGGGTCCCTTTCATCCACATCCCATCCATCCAGGCATGGCATGCATCCTGGTCCCTCCTTTTGCCATTCATCCCTCGTTCACAGTCGTTCTATCTGCCTGTCCCTTTGCCGTGTATTGAATAATAACTGACGCCGCTCCCTTCTGGGCACGCCACTCATTTTTTTTGGCTTTTTATTTCCCGTTCCTTCTCGTACTTCTTTCCTCCTACTTCCATACTGCCTACTCAATTCATGTTTGTGGTCCGTTATTTTTGCCGACTGCCCTCTGCCATACCTGCTGCTGTTGCTGCTGCATCATCACCTTTGCAAGTGCCCGGCCTCGCATCCCATCGGCCCTGCCTGCATTGAAACCCGCCTCACCGCCGATATTCCGCCGTCTCCCTCGTGACCCTTGGATTTGATTTTCCGAGTCTCACCGCAAAGCACTGTCAAGGTCCCCTTCTTGCCATATTTCGACCTCTTTCCTTCTCGACTCGGAAACCCAACACTCTCCTTTGGAGCACCATCCTTCCAACAGCATCGACACTCCACTCCTTTCAGTCCGGGACTTTGTTCGACGCAAAACTGCGTGTTCCCGTCAGTACTCCAAGGGGATATTCATCCGAGACAGGCCACCGGAAGTATTGCAGGTAAGTTGACCACTCGCTGGCTTTCTGGTTTTCCGCCTTTTCTCCCTGGTACCAACGCTTGTTCCTACACACCACACGCATCCGCGTCCACTTTCTGCCCCTCGAAGCCCCCCTCTCCCCTCTCCCGACCACAGCCCGGCTACGGCTACAGTGCTTCATGCGGCCAGCCGCTCTCACGAGACCTCGTCTCCGGATTGTGTTGCCCACCGTTTTGTTTGCCCCTGCACCTTTCCCGTGGCATTCCCCGTTCGAGGTCCTTGCATTGGTGCTGACCAGGGGCTTTCAGCTCTCCTCCGCCTCTTTATATACGCTGAGGAGCCAACTCATTTGCCCTCCCTTGCTCTCTGCTCCGGACCATCCTACGAGCACCAGCATTCGATCAACATAACCCGATTTTCGGCGACCGGCCGAAGCAACTAACTGCTCCTTGAAAATGAGTGATCAAGGTGCCGGCGGGGGGATGTCGACTCACAGGAGGCAGGATTCTGGGGAGGAGCCGATACCCACCGAGACCGCCCCGGAGACACGCGCGCCGCCTGCTGAATCAGATAACGTTGAGTTGTCTCGACCTCCACAAGACCTGCCCAGAGGATCTCGGAAGCTCAGTCAAAGTGCCTCGGATCGAGGCGCGCGGGTTGGCACCCCGACACAAGGACTCTCGAGGAATCCATCCACATGCTCGAACAGCTCGAGCGCGAGGCCACAGGCCGAATACCTCCCTGCACGCACACCGGGGCTGGAACAGCGCCCGGCGCCACCCACATCTCAGCCCAGCCTCTCGGAGGGGCTCCAATTAGAGCCTCCGGTTACCAAGGCGACACTCAGCGAACTTGACGTACAAAAAATCGTACATAACCCCAAGCTTCGTCATGACATCAACTTCGATCCCGAATTGCACTTCAGGCCGAATCTGGATGGAGACAAGGGGAGGAGGAAGCAAGAAAAGGCGAATCAGTTTTGGAACGCCCTGTATGACCAGCTGGTCCTGTTTGTCATGGACAGGGAGACGTTCCACGCGAGGTACGGCCATGGGGATTGGTGCCTGCCAGTGCTGCTCCGGGCGGTCAGGGAAATCATCGAGACGCTGGTACCACAACGGGATCGGAACCTGCTCAACGAAGGGTTGAATGTGGACCTGCTGATGCAGCAGTTCAACCGGGGTGTTGCCGATCTCGAGAAGCTGGCGTCATGGTTGGCAAGCGTCCTCAAGCTCCACTGCGCCCCGATGCGTGACGAGTGGGTCGACGAGATGTACCAGGAGCTGAGCAACGGGAACCGCAACAACGACATGACAGAGCTCGTCAAGGGGATGCGCAGCCTGCTCAGCGTGCTGGAGGCGATGAAGCTCGACGTCGCGAACCACCAGATCCGGTGTCTGCGCCCAGTGCTCATTGAGGATACCGTCCACTTTGAGCAGCGCTTCTTCGTGAGGAAAATGGAGTCGCGGAAGCTTAGCATCGCACCGTCCAGGTTGTGGTACCGCGCAGCCCTGGAGTTTACGGAGCGGCTTTACGACGGCGCCCCGATGCCCTACCTGGCCGCGTTTGGCGAAATGTCCGTCTTCTTCGAGGCTCTCTCAAGGCTCGTCCTGCCGTCGACCTGCCACAAGGCCGTCCCGCCTACATTCGTCTTCGACGACGACCGGATCCTCAAGCTTCGTTCCGATTTGCACGACAGCATCTGCTTGGAGATTTGCATGCGGAAGTTCGAGGACCTAGAGCGCCTGTCGAGGGCGACACAGATGTGCCTCAAGGTTCCGTCGTACGTCAACGAGGACTCGACCAACAACAGGTCCTCGGGCGACTTCAACTTCATGGCCGCCGGCTCATCCCGTCCCACCAGCCTCGCCTTCAGCGACGGCAGCTCCAACTTCTCGTCGCCCCGGAACTCGGGTGGTCTCTTCGCACAGGCCACCCCGGACTCGGCTGACTCGCGCTCTCGGGGATCGGAGCTCTACAGCTCGCTCCTCGCCCTCCTCCACACTGCGCCCAACGCCTGCACGCCCGCCGAGCGGTGGCAGGGCCTCGCAGGGCCGATGGCCCTGCAGATTCTTCGCTACGCCAACGCGCCCCCCTTGCTACCTGGCTTCGAGGATCAGCTGGCTGCATGCCTGGGCGACCTGAACTCGGAGCTTTTCCGTGAGGTCGAGTCGCACTTCCAGCAGCGCCTGATTTCCGAAACGGCGCGCCGCGTCGTCGAGCTCAAGGGCTTGTCGGGCGTCGCACTCTTCTCGCACGCGACCTCGGGGCGCGGCCACACCTGCCGCCACCTCGACTCTCGGAGGAGTGACCACGGCCAGCGCCCTAGCGGTCTACTTGGCGGCGATGCCCCGCGCGAGCCGCGTGACGATGCCTGCGTTGACGACATGGCGCTGCGGCTCGCACACATGGGGGTGCTACACTGGCGCGTCTGGGCGCCGATTGCGTACGAGGGCGATATTGAAGGCGAGCTGAGCGCCATGCAGAACTCCATGATCTAAGCGGTCACGGGGTCCTCGACAACTTCCGCCCACAACCAACTACCTACTTATGATTCTTCGACAACTGACCATTGTAACATCCTCCCGGGCATGACATGGTCTTTTGCAACCACCACTACACACTCCTACCTGTTTAATCATTGGCCTCGGACACGCGGAGAAACTGGGTTACCGCGTCTGCTCGGGAGCTCAGTTCTGCAACTCGCTCGCTTCCATACATACCCATCTCACATTGTCTCTCTTTTCTCTCTATCTCTTCCTCTCTCTCATCAATCATTATCGGAATACCCGTACCATACCCATACTTCAACCCATCTACGAGGTTTAATCTGCATTCTTGCTCGAGATCAGCATACCCACCCATTCTGGTGTTGTCTGTGTTTCTTTTTTATCTGTTTTCTTTATCACCAGATTGGGAGGCTTGAGACAAGAACACGGCGTTTTACTTTGTTTCGAGTTGGTTTTAAAGTTTTGCGAGCACACGGCACGGCGTTCTATTTGCATTTTTCTCTCCCTGCGTCTTTGGGGCGATTACAAAGGCAGGGAGGATGATGGGTGGGCGGAGAGGCAACAGTGGATTTATTGACTTCAAGGTGGCTGCTTTGCTGGTTGGTTGGTTGAGTCTTTAATCTGCAGTCCGTTCGACGGATTGGCTGTCTGCCCGAGATACCGCCACTGGTGTCGGTAGGGTGGGACTGGGAAGGGGAGGAAAGGGAAAGGCAACGGAAGGGAAGGGGCAGTGCAATAGAACGATGGCTTTGCTGAATTAGATGGTTTGGGTTGGGGTCTGAATCGGCTTGGTTTGGTTTGGCTTCCGCTTTGAGTCTATTTGATATACTAGACCGAGGAGAGAAAGAAATGGGAATATACCATGCCCCGGTGGTCAGGCCACCGGGTAGACGGAACTACAATTCTTGGTATCCTTTGGCAGTGTTGTGTATTGTGTAATGTGTGACCAATGCTTGTTTGTTTTTCACTATTTTCGCTTTGATGTTAGTTACCAGCTTATGAGCTTACTACATACATGTTTTCCGTCTTTAGATCAAGCCACCCCTCCATCGTTGTTTTCCAGTCGGTAAATTCCCCTTCCTCCCCCCCCACGGCCATTGTGTCGACATAGGGCAAACAGAATATCAACCAACCAACCATAGCAATGGCAATTGGAGTAGACTACGTGAGCCATCTATTTCCCGAATGAACCTCGCCACAACCAATTGCTCTTCTAACATCCCCATTGGTCATGGCATCAACCCCGGAATGGGTTGTTGATCGTGTCATCCCCAGCAAGAAAACACGGCACGGCACGCAGTACGAAAAGGCTCGTATGCTGCCGTGGGGCGTAAAAAGAAACGTTGGGCCGCGGCCGTATCGTATGTGCAATTCTCACTTACTTGTGATACAACACCCCCTGCCTTGCTTGCGGTGATGGTGTCGTACTTGGGCGGATGTGTGCGCCGGCACGGGTTTGGTGGTACGAAGTACATGTACATACTTGTGTTTGTTTCATGGTGGGACTTTTGTAAGCTGTTGGTGTGAGGCACGGCGGAAGTACATAGCAAGGGGGAGGAGGGTGTGTGTGGTGTTGTGTGTTTGGGGTTGAGCTGACGGGTATTACGGACAAAACTGACGATTTACGAAAAGCGCAATTACTAAACTAGCATCTCTTAAGGGCCCGTGATGGGAAGGTGTGAGAGAAAGTCCTGATACAAGGTGGCTGGTTGGCTGTGTTTGTTTCGCTCTGCCATGTCAGTGCAGGCGGATTTAGCTTCGCTTCTGCATCTGGGGAGCGCGATCACTTACTGCATTGGGCCAGGGGACGGGGAACGCACGACTTCTTATTTGTGGTTTTGCGAGCGATGCGGAAC